AATGCTGCGTGGGGTCTGGGTGCCGTGTTGGCGGGACGTTGCGGGGCTCGCTGCTGCGAGGAGCGGACAGTGTGAGCTGGCTTGCTGGTGTTGTTTCCTGGTCGCTGTGTGGGGTTTACACACGTGTGTGTGTGTGTGTGTGTGTGTGTGTGTGTGTGTGTGTGTGTGTGTGTGTGTGTGTTTGTGTTTGTGTGTCTGAGTGTGTTTGTGTGTGAGCCTTGACTTCAATGCATGTGAAAAAGTGGAAGTGAGAAGGTCCTTCTTTCGTCATTTCATCCTCCCCCTGTCAGACACAACAAACACACGCTTCATTATTACCAATTACTATTCAATTATCGAACCTCAATTCTGTAAGCGCGTAATAAAAAGAACTTGCAGATAAATGCAGCCTGATTTTAAAGGGGACCTATCATGCCAAATATACTTTTTGATGTATTTATCTGCAAGTTCTTTTTATTACGCGCTTACAGAATTGAGGTTCGATNTTTTCTCTTGCGGGTTTACCACAAGGTGAGTTACTTTTTTTATTTCCTGCTTTTTAAACACATGTGCTCTCCAGTACAGTGTTAGCGATGATTGCTAATGTAAACAAATACCATATTACGTCCAAAACACGTCAGGCATTGTTTCTGATAGCAACTCTCTGTGGGTCCACCATCCGAAATTACGTAATATCGGCAGCAAATCTGTATCCGCTCGTTGTACCCCCGTTTTTAAAAGATGTGGGTGGGGGAAAATTTGCTGCCGATATTACGTAATTTCGGATGGTGGACCCACAGAGAGTTGNTTGTGAGTTCAAATCCCGCCAGGAAGACCACCACTAATGCGCCCTTGAGTAAGGCACTTAACCCTTAGTTACTCCAGGGAAAATGTCCCTGTAATCGGTAATTGTAAATTGTAATTGACGCTTTTATCCAAAGCGTCAACTAAATGTAATGTAAAAAAAGAGGAGGCGGAGCTAATGCCTGATCAGAATTCTACCGGAGATAAAGTTAAATTCTGCTGTGATAAAACGCCATCCTGTTCTAAACCACATCAAAGATCATTTATGAAACAGTATGGAGCTCAAATGCTTTTTTCTCTTGCGGGTTTACCACAAGGTGAGTTACTTTTTTTATTTCCTGCTTTTTAAACACATGTGCTCTCCAGTACAGGTTAGCTCTGAGTGTTAGCGATGCTTGCTAATGTAAACAAATACCATATTACGTCCAAAACACGTCAGGCATTGTTTCTGATAGCAACTCTCTGTGGGTCCACCATCCGAAATTACGTAATATCGGCAGCAAATCTGTATCCGCTCGTTGTACCCCCGTTTTTAAAAGNTTTGAGCTCCATACTGTATATAATGATCTTTGATGTGGTTTAGAACAGGATGGCGTTTTATCACAGCAGAATTTAACTTAATCTCCGGTAGAATTCTGATCAGGCATTAGCTCCGCCTCCTCTTTTTTAGTTTTTTAAGCTAAGGACCCAACATCTGCGTTTCTCTAAACAGGGCTGGAATAGAGGGGTATGAGGGATGTCTAAAATGCATGATCTGTTTTGTATTTTGAGCAAAACACATCATAGACATGTTTTTATATATTTTTATATATCTGAGACCTAACAATAGCATGATAGGTGCACTTTAAATGCTTGGTTAGACTCGTTGTCTTGTGTACTTGTTTTTAAATAAGATATTTACTTTTAAAATCCGAATTCAGCTAAAAAGGAAAAGGGATAGTTTGCATGATTTGAAGTGGGTTTTCTCTTCAAGTTATTCACGTTTATATGCATTTTGCTGATGGTGTTGGTTCAGAAACTTCGTTACAGTACTGGCATTGCTATCAAATCATTTCATACTGCATCACAAAAATATAAACACTATGTAATCATAAATGTGGTCTATTTTCAGACTCACACAGCCTTATACACTACTTTTTTTTATGTATGCAAGCATCCTCTGCTGGATGGAATCCCTTCTGAACTTCCTCTTCATCTTGTCCACCTTGACACTGTGCTTTCCTCGCTTTCGCCTCCTCTCCTTTGTCCCCTCCACTGTTTCTGATCTCTCTTGCAGTGTCTGTGCGCTGACGACAGTGTGACTTTTTTGTGAATCCCAAGTGGGTTGTGTCTCATCTTGCTGAGGCAGTACATTTCCCAATCTCTTGTGCTGTAATTGTCAAAATCAGATGTATGGTATTTTAGAAAAGACATTAGGAAGAAACGCATACAGCATGTTTGCAATTTAGTTTTAGCACCGCAATCAATACAGCCTAAGTGGGTATAACCTGAGTTCTCCTCTCCTGTTCTCTCACTTATTGTCCTCTCCTACTCTCCTCCTTTTCACTTTTTGTCTTGCTTCCTCCCTTTTGCTTTTCTCCTTACCCCCTGCGATCTCCCCTCCTCTCCTCTCTCTAGTGTCTGTATGGCTGCTACGTCCACTCCTCCATCATCCCCACCTTCCATCGTAGATGCTATTGGCTGCTGCAGGTAAGCCCCCCTTTCCCCACCTTGCCTTTGCTCGCACATTCATACACATACTAGAACAAGACTTCAACATTATTTATAGAGTTGTGATACGTTGTCATGTATTTTCAGGTATTTCAGGTATTTCCCGTAACACTGTGACAGCCTTGTTACACTGTGACAGCCTTGTTACATTTATTTCAGCTATGCTTGGGCTTTATTTCCTATTTTACACAAAGCTGTGCAACCAGAGTATATATTACCAGTGTTACACCAAGTTTCGTCTTTTAAACTGTCCATTTCCGAAACAGAACACTAAGCTTAACCATAAACCAGCAATAAACATCCTCCTCTAAATTAATGGTCCAGACTTTAGTGAAAATACAATCACAAGGCTTGGGTCATAATAAAACTGGATGTTGTTTGGCAGTTTGGAGTAAACACTCTTGGACCACGAGAATGTACCAAGAGCACGTCAGGCCTATAGGTTGCTTTTTATGATAGGAACACACTGTGCAGAATAATAAAAGCATTTGTTTGCCAGAAGTTGACCAGAAGTTGACTTCCAGAGCGCAGTGTGGTTTCTAAACCCTGACTCTCGATACTTACAATGAGCATCAAGGACTCCTGTGCTCCTCAATATGTGGTCCTCTCCAAGAAAACACCCTGGAGCTACAAACAACACACACACCAACACACACATGCACAGGTGTCCCCTGTGTGTGAAGGCATGTTGTTTTTCATAGAGATGTTGGACTCACTCTACTGCTCATGTGAAATACAGCACACACATACACACTCGCACGCACACATGTCTCTCCCTCTATTGGTCATGCAAGACATGGTCACCCAGACCTCATCATCTTCAGATGACAGGTTACATGATGAATCTTAAAAAATGCATTTACATTTACACTGCCTCTCTCTTCCTCTCTCTCTCTGTTCATTTCAAAGAAAATATTGAATACCCTGCAATGTTCATTTAAAATATGGAAATGCACACATATTTATGTATTCCGCGGCAGAGTTCCCTGCATAATTTGTCACATGAAATGTACAAGGACATTCCAGCCACCGGCCTTAAATTGATTATGCCCTCTCCCAATATATTTCCCTCTTTTCCGCATGCCCAACTAGTTTGATTCCCGCAGTCTGAAATTACGAAGGGAAATTTGTTTGCTTTATCTCCAAAGTGCCATTTTCTGCTCTTTGCTCCGATATCAAAACACATCAGTGTGAATATGATCATAAATCAGCCTGTGACTGCTGTTGAGCACAGTGTGGTGCTGTAGCAGCCCACTGTGCCATCCTCTTTTGGAGAGAAAAGTGTTCCACCTCAGCAGGTCCTCCCCCTCACCTGAGTCTGTCTACTGAATCTTTCATCAAGAGGAGCTTCTCTCTCTTTCGCACGCATGCACACACACACACACACACACACACACACACACACACACACACACACACACACACACACACACACACACACACACACACACACACACACACACACACACACACACACACACACAAACACACACACACATAGATGCACGTGAAAGCACCTGTTGAATCATTCATGGGGTAGAAATTCCATAGGTCTACTGGTGGCCTGCAGTATAGTGAAAACCGCTCTCCCTCTTTTTTGTCTCTCTCTCTGTATATACATCACGCACACACATACACACATGTGGACACTTTTGCATTCTCTGCAGGGTCAGAGAGAGAGTGATGAGTGGACTCGAGCTGTTAAATCTTTTATGGGCAGGTGAAAGAGTCTTATCTGACACGCTATGTCCAACCTCTTCCCTGACCTCCACGTATTCTCCCATTTCCCTTCTCCATATCCCCCTCCCTCGGTAAATAGACTCTATTGTGTTATTCTCTCCCTCCCATATGTTGGAAAGAACATGACAATGAATGAATGAATAAAGGCAGTGTATAACTAACACCATGTGCGTGCCTGTTTCCCTCTGTGTGTGTGTGTGTGTGTGTGTGTGTGTGTGTGTGTGTGTGTGTGTGTGTGTGTGTTTGCTCCACTTGGCCCACTCCTTCCTGTCTGTGTTGATGGAGCAGAGGACAGGACCACATGGCTTCCCGCTGTCGTCCACTGCCGGTACATTCAGGTAGTGCACCAGCACAATGTCTGGGTTCTACATCACAGACACACACACACACACACACACACACACACACACACACACACACACACACACACACACAGAGGGAAACAGGCACGCACATGGTGTTAGTTATACACTGCCTTNCCTACGGCGTTCATGCTTTTACTCGTCTCCCCCCGGTCGAGGAGTGAGGAGGTGGAGATTTGAGTTATGCAACTCATAATTTGTGTGGGCATCCAGTCAGGAAATATACAGCAACAGACAGGCTCTCACTAGTTAGAGTTACAGAGGAAAAGAAGAACGTCTGCCTTTATTTCTATTTCAGATCGTTTAACTATGGGTTGTTCTTTCTAGTCTTTTTCAGTGTCTCTAATGTACAATGGCCTGTCTTTTTTTGCTGCTGCACCGCAAAATTGCGTTCCTGAATTTTTTAGACTTTTCGAGAAAGTCAGATTTTTGAGAAAAGTCAGAAAAAAAGCACATGTTCATGACCGGATGTATAGATTCACCCGAACAAGAACCGGTATTCCTTCCATCTTCGTGACTGTGAACTCCCTCTCTGGCCCAATCAGGGTAAGTATGCCCAACGGTAAAAGTTTAGAGCCTCCTCAACAATGTTTTTTTTATTCAAAGCCAGACGTGGCACCGATTTGAAGCGGTCCATGTTAAACTGAGCACCCAAGAACTCCTTTTCGTTACGCTGGCAAGTGAACTAAAAGGTTAATGGCCACCGTGCGAGAATGAGTCTCATTGTCACTCAACGCTGAACATGAATGCCTAAACTTTAAAGGAGACCTATCATGCTATATTTTAATGATATAGTGTATGAACATACCTATATAAGGTATATTTATACATTTTATTTTTCAAAATACCAAACAGATCATTTTTTAGCCATGCCTCGTTTCGCTCATTTTCGCTCTATTCCAAGCCTGTCTTTGAAAATTCTGAGCAGCAGCTGACCACGCCCCCCTGCAGAAGAGGGGGGCATGAGCCGGCGAGAGTCACGTTACCATGTTTGCTGTGATTACGAGTGTGGAATAAACATGTCATCTCAGAGCAATGCATGTGTTCAAGCATATTATCAATTTGATCCAGAAACTGACCCTGAAGCAGCGGAGGTTTTGGTGGAGGTGCAAACATCTCGGTTGCAGCAGGACGTTTCTGAATGGTTAGTTGACAAGCTGTTGTCCCTATTTATTTTACTCTGTTTGTTACGATGCTTGCTACTTATTCCGTTCATATTTTGGCTAATTAGCAAGAATGCAATGTGTACAGTTTGTAACTTAGAGTTTGACCCAGCAATAAGTCTCTGAAAGGCGGGGAAAAGTTGTGTGGATAGAGGCAGAGCGCAGCGGCAGGCAGGCAGAGGAGGAGCAGGCTGCGATACCCCCCCCCCACAGAGTGCACCCAGAGGACAGGCTGCGTCACCTCACTTTGTAACCCAGGAAAGGAGCAGGAATCCTGGGTACGTGAGTGTTAAAAGTGCATTAAACTGTGATATAGTGTAGGACCATACCTATATAAGGCATATTTATACTTTTTATTTTTCAAAATACCAAACAGATCATGCATTTTAGCCATTCCTCATTTCGCTCAATTTAACACTGTCTTTTCATGGGCTGATTCTGTGAGAACAGCACCATCTACAGGCCTGGCATATGTACTATAGCGTCTCCAGCGCTTTCGAACGGCAATGTCCGTGGCTGTCTCCTCCTGATTGGTGGAGTTGGCCCAATAGCCGTAGCGCCACTTCTGTGACGTCATAGACGTGTTCAAATCTGGATCAGTCTGTATCAGATCCGTTGCAGCCCCTTTTTAAGAGATTTGGGTATGGAGGAAAATAGAGAGGGTTGTGTTTTCTGACACTTGGTGAGTTCCCTGGGACACCGGGGACACATATTCATGTATAAAAGACGTACAAAAGTGCATTTTGCATGATAGGACACCTTTAAAGATAAAGTATGTTTAAAGTCAAAGTGAATCAAACACACTCCAGGCAAACAGTAAAACAGCTCTGTAAAAGTCACATTTTTAATGGTAGAAGCTCTTTTTTCTTTAATACAATAAAAGTTTGACACAAACGGATGCTCTCACCATCGAGGGACAGCCAGTCGTGCTGAGAAGATGGCAGGGCAGGAAGGTCACGGGCCTTGTATTCAAACACCACAGAGGAAGAGATGACCTCACCACCCATAGCTACCTGCAGCATCACCAGTCCTGTGTCATGGGCTGGAAACAAACGTAAAATCAAATAAGGTATTCATTTAATATCACTGACTGACTGTGGAGACAGATCGCTTTTTAAGGAATCATTTCAGTATGCTAACCGTTACACACTGTGAATGTGTAATTTTGCTTTGCCCATGTCTGCCTGCAACATTTGCCTACGGTTTCCCCTGATCAAACTTAATGTAGTACGAAGTGACTCATGCATCACTTACTATACCATCCAAAAAAAACATCTCCGAGCAGAGCTGCATATATTTTGTCCCTGACAGACAGTGTCTCTCAAATATATTTTTTGTATTGTTCTTATCTTGTATAAAAAGCACTGCAGATAAAGGTGTGCAGCTGACATGGTTAAACTCTTTCTTAGAACACTGAATAAAGCCTGCTGGAAACGGCTTATTATAGGGATTAGAAGGATGAGGGTACGGAAAAGGTTTACTTTGAACAAGTGCAAAATCCCAAAAGCTGGGACCGATGGCCCCGGCAGAACTTTAAATAGGAAGAAACACAATTTTACTTTATTATCTCATCTGGCTTTGATTGTTAAATGTAGCAGCTAGGTGGTAGTCCTACTGTTGTGTATTTGTTTCACCCTCTGCTGAGTGCAATGACGAATGAAACACCAATGAAAGAGGAAATCTCTGCTGAGTGATGATCTCTCTCAGAATGATCTACGACAAACAGTTAGCACGCTTTTCTTTTGTAACTGACTGACTGACCTTAGAGATAAGAGTTGCAGCTAGTTGTGTTGTGTGTGAGTGTGTCCGAACAGTACACAGGTGTGTTACCTGGGCAGTAGCAGCGCAGCACCCCGGGCTGGATGAGGGCAGCAGGGACGCTGATGTGGTCGAACAGACAGCTGTACTCACTGCTCGACTCCAACCATGGACCTGTGATCAGCACCTTCACTCCGCCCTGTCGCACACAAGCAGAGCCTTAGTCTCTCACAGTCTGCGTGAGAATCTGACACATCACGGCATGAATTACAGATATCAGATATCCTGATACCATCCATCTTTTGCGAAAACATACCTCAGAGACACAGTGGCCTATTTTTTGTTTTCTATTACATGAATCTAAATTCATAGCTATTTATAATTGCCACATTTACAAGGTGGTTGTTATTTTGCTAATGACAAATCTATGAGTCTGAAAGGCCTGGTAGCAGCCCCTAGAGGCTGCGCTGCTCCTCACAGCCAAGTTGTTTTGAACCATCTAAACACTGCCATGTGTTTTCTCTAGTGGAGCTAAAAATAAAACGTAAACAACATATTCTACCCAAAAATGTTCAGTCATGAAGTGAGCATACAAAAACAAAAACATGTTTGATTGAAAGCCATTTAGCAGCATTTGGTAGGGTTATTTAAGTTCAAAATATGAAGCCAATGTGTTGCTTTTTTAGGAGACTAAATACTGTGGAATAATCAGTATGATGTAAAAGTGATGATCCTGAAAGAAAGTTGCACAAAATAAGAGCTGAACATATGCACATGTTGGAGGTGATTAATACAATTCCTTAAAAATAATATTTCTTTTGAAAATGATGTTGTTAAGATGTTGTGTTTCCGCACGTTTCATCATGATTCAGTGACATAACTTGTGTGGGAGATATTATAAGTGCAACATGGGTAAATTAATGAAGCCACCCAGGGTAATCAGTGTAATATTGAAATTTCATCAGCTGAGTCTGAAACATTCTGAGTCCTTAATGACCACACAGCCAGACTGGCGGTCTCAGTACAAACTGTGAGTGTGATTTCAGCGTTTAACATCAGTGCAAGCCACCGTCAATCATGGGGTGGAGCGACTGATTTTCCTGCAGGGAACAATGATGAATAAATAATGAAAGATAATCATGTTGGGTTTACCAACCTCTGGATAAGACCATTCTGGGGAGTAGTCTGTCACACCAAACAGCCTCCCAGTCTCCTGCAGCAGCCCCAGAGCCCCCTGCTGCACCTCGGAGCCCTGCAGGTGGGCTGCTGCTGAGCCCTGCTCCTCCCCCGCTGCCCCCTCCTGGGGCATCAGGACCCCGGTCACAGCTGCCGCCACACCACCTCCAGCCCCCTCCACTGAGATGAAGTCATTGATGAGATCAGAGAACTGGCTACCAAAGGAAGCCTCGAATCCCTCCAGACTGATGGCCGCCCCTGCCCCAGCTGTTGTAGCTGACCCCCCCCCACCCTGCTGAGGAAGAGAAGAGCTATAGAGCGCCCCCTCCATGCTCACACCAGCAGCTATAGACTGAGGACTGGCCCCCACTGAACTGCTGGTCCCTGACAAGCTAACACCGTTACAGAGATGTCCCCTCCCTCCTCCACCTCCCCCGCCCTCCTCTCCTCGGCCATTGTCATCTGTAGGTTGCAGGTAGTGCTCGGTGTCAACGCTCGTGTAGGCCTCGTGAGGATCCCCGGGCTTGAGTAGCAGCTCCCCTCCGTTCTCAGAAGCCTTCTCCAAGCCCCCGACCTCTCGATGCCCCCTGCCGCCTGACTGGTCCACGTTTGTTTCCTGTGGCGTCAGAGGAAAGGAGCCCACCGCCGCTCCGTGTCCGTTCCTCCCACACAGGCCCTGCTGGTCTGGGCTGGCTTGGTGGAGGTTTGCATGCGGGTCTCCGTTGGTTACCGGAGTGTCTGTCGCTACGGTGGGCAGGCTGATGTAAGCCTGGGCCTCGTCTGACTCCTGCCCTGCCTCTGTGCCGTTGGTCTGCAGCTGGCCTGTCGGCGGGGAGCCCTGGAGGAAGAGGCCTGGGGACGGGTGGTGGGAGATCTGGGTTAGACTCGGGACACAGGCTGATGACATCACAGCACTGAAGTCCATCTGCTCCAGGGTGGTGCTGGGGCTGAGGCCGGTCCCTTCCCCTACGTAGCTACTCTGGGGGGCCATTGGCGGGTCCAGTGGTGCAGGTTCTGTCTTGATGTTGTTGACGAGGGCCTGGTTGTAGACAAAGCTGTTAGGGGAGCAGTGGAGACCTCCATCGTCACCGTTACACCCCTCAGCCTTCCCTCCGCCTCCTCCGTACGTCTGGCCCTGCTTGGGATTGTTAAGGAAGCAGTCGGGGTCAAAGGTCATGGTTGTCTCAGGAAGGCTGACTCCTCCAGTGGTGTCTAGAGAGCTGGAGAGAACCAACTCTCCCGCCTCTCCTAAGCCCACGCCACCCGGAAACGAAGCGAACCTCTGGTTTTCGGGGGCAACAGCCAATAGGATGTTGGCGGTGGTGCTCTCATGGGCGGATCCCAGCAGGTGGGTGTGGCCAGTGGAGTACACCGAATCCCCAGTCAGCGTGGTGACCTCAGACATGAACACAGCAGTGCTCTGTGACAAGCCGGCCCCGATGGCGAGGGCGGGGCTATCAGCCATGTCGCTGGTGATTGACAGTGGTGAGCTCTGGGTGGTGTCTGGGACCTCCACCTGGTTGGTGGAGGTGGATGAGGACACTTCCATGCTGCTCTGTGGGAGGAGCGAGGGTTTGGTTATCCTGCCATTCCTCCTCTCCCCTCCACCCGCTCTGCTCCTCCCCCCTCCCCCCGGACTGGGCTCTGTCTGGCCCTCTGACACATCACTGTTCTGGACCTCCGTGCCATCTGCTTCCTCGGCTCTCTGTCCTGCAGCTACGCCCGTTCCCACTGCCGCTCCACCTCCTGCTGCTGCCCCCGACTCCTGCTTGGATGAGATGATGCGCTGCTTGACACTGGAACATTTCTGATGCAGGCTGCTGCCAGCACCTGTTAGAAAAGATATTCAAGCAAAGGAAACAGAATTAAAGATAATGCATTTCATTTTCTGTCCTTTCATTTGCTAAGCTCAATCCTTATAGTAACGTTGCATTACCTCACAAACCTTTGACAGTGCGTAATGGCGCCCTCCAGTGTTAAGAATGTAAACTGGAGACTGAGCTCTTGAATACTTTAAAACACAGCTTGAGATGCTTGAGTTTTGAAAAAACGTATATAACTTATATAAACACATATACATACATATACATGTATAATATTAAATACATTTTAATTCTAACATCTGAGGGATTTCCTGGTTTAAAAAGAGATGTATTCATTTATATTTCTGGGATTTAGCTCTTACATTTTATACAGACAAAACAAACAGTTCAGAGATCTAATGGCCGTAAACGCCCCTCTAACCTCAGAAAGATCAAGACAGCATACAAGAAATAAGTTCTAGGAAATGAAAAAAAGCAGAGAGTTGTTGTTTTGTGAACAAATTGGGACTGACAGAAGATCGAGAGGGAATATGATTCAGTGGGGAAATTGAGGAGTGAGGTGCTACTTAAGTCAACAAGCCACTTAGTTTCGGGCAGCTGTCCTTATTTGGCCTTCCAAACCAGATCAAAAGATGGATGAGATGAGGTAAGTGTGTGTGTGCATGTGTGTATCTCCTCCCTGATGCTCATTTATGAATAATACATGCTGTATATTTCTGGCACCTCTGTCTTCTTTCCCTCTATCCCTCCTTTTTTGGGGGGTGTTTATGTGTCTGCCTCTAGGTGGCAGCATGGTGCTGAATGTGAACAACCGAAAACAAAAAATCGAAATCTCTATATAGCCTGGCTGAGTGGTATACATGTCTTTGTGTTGGGTGGATTGTCATTGGACAAGGTTGTTTACTATAACTACTAGTAACTACAAGTAAATAAGACCCCCGTTAAAACCCAAAACACCCTTATGCAAGTCCAGTTGTTGCATTTTGGCATACTGATTAATCTCTGATCTGCCAATATCTCAATTAGAGGTTTGAGCTTAATTAACACTGCCAAGATTTGATCATTTTTCCTTGATGCATTTGAGAAATGTTATGTTATCTTGTTTGAGCTGATAAAAACACTGTTTGTCTCCTGTGATAAATAACGGCATGGCTCCAGACCAATTCTGCTGCCAAGTTGTTTACAAAGCTTAAAATCAAGCCAGTGAACCAAAAATATCTGTGTTTTAGATTTACCACACTGGTTTTTCACTGATTAATTTGGAGACTTACTGTACCGTGGCAGGTGGTATTTTTTATTGACCCAAGGTGACTCATGTCCTCATGTTTGAGAAGTGCGAGGGCTGAAACATGAGAGTAGGAGGCTGGCGAGAAGAGCTAACTCACACATGGGTTGAGCTGTACCAAGTGACGTCTCCTCCTTGCCTCCCTAACGTTCGGCCCCTACCTTCCCTTTCCGTCGTCTTGGTTG